GCTTGATTCTATCTACTCGATTGCGGGTCGCCCCTCCAACCTTTTGAGCTCGATCACGTATCGTGCCACAATATCCATCTCCGATTTTCTAACGGAGCACCGATCCAGTACAGTACACGGAAAAGCAGACCAACTGAACAGTGCCTCATTAAACACAACGTGCGGTTTCCGCTTCTCGTATTTAGACGGAACCCAGATCGGATCGTGTTAGACGCAAAATGGGAAACGGAAATGAACAAGCCTTCGGAGTGAATTTTAGAAGGTGTTGTGAAATTTGATAGTAGTACACTACGGTCGTGCTGGAGGGATATGCTGATCGGTGCCCGCGCGATAACTCTAATTGAGCAACACTATGCTTCTTACCTCTTTCCATAAAGAACGTTGTCCCAACCTTTACAAGGCCGTTTGAGCAATTAAATCAGATAAGCTAAATTCAACAGACCACGGTGACGGTAACAATTATGTACTCTGTCAACTAAGAAGAACTGATCACGCCATGATGCAGAGAACCCAACGAAGCGACGCCGTTTTGTAGGTGCAGCAAGTTGGGTAACCGCTGCACTTGGGGGTGAGCGCGGCATCTCATGTAAGCCTTAGCCTCTGCACATTGAGCTTCCCATTCTTGACTTGCTCTGCAATCTCGCCATTCATATAACCATACACAAAACCTTCCCCTACAACATGCCATGCGTCTTGGGATGCTTCCATCCTCAAAACGAGCGGAATGCTGCACCCAAATAGCACAGCGACAACGTCGCCAGGCCTTGCGCGACACGGTGCCACACCAACGTAGCCTCGTTCTGTGACCATCAATCGGCGTGCTTTCTTCCGTACAGTGTCGTGGAAGCGCGAGAGGAAGGTGCTCAGTTTGTCGTTCATTTGGTGAATGGGATGCGATGGTGGCCGATGCAGTGTCGGTGGCGGGGATGTAAACTCGGTAGGTACCTGTCTCACAAGATCCTCTAGCAACTTGTCACCAAGTCTCAGCTTTCTGTTGTGCTCAAACCATGTAGAGAAGCTCCAGTCTACTGGGTCGCCATCGATACATGCATGGCAAAGGAAGAGAAATTCGGCTATGTAGTGGACTGGCGCTTGAAAGCACAGGTACTTGTCCTGTCGGTCGATGACCAAGGAACGTGCGACAGCTCCAAGCCAATCCATAGGTAGCATGGTGGCTCTGGGCGCACTGCTTTGGACTTGTTGCGACTGCGTCAACTCATGTCCAGCTTCTCTACAGACGAAGCTCTGGCATCGCAATTCTTGTCCATCAAGCCCGCCAATCCCGTGAATTGTATCTAACACGACGCCGTTGCAGTATAGATCCTTTAGGTTATCTGAGAAAGAGACATGCGCTTGTTTCCTCAGTCGTAATCCAGGAGCATCATACATGGCTTTCCAACGTGTTGACCGCAGCGGTCTGAAATTTCCAATCTGTTCACATGCACTCTGGCTTGCCATGAGCGGCACAGGGGAAGCGAACTCGATAGTCGTCCTCCAATCGGGAGTCCATGTAGGTACTGCATTTTCAGCATACAGATCGCTGACCGCTGCGCTGCGGCTGAACAAGTGCGTAAAGCAGATGATGTCAAGCGATTGATGGACGTTCCAAAAAGACCGAACAAGCTTCGCGAACTGATACGCAGTGTCTGTGGTGTATTCGGCGGGTCCCACGAGGTTTCTATCTTGTTCAGTGATGAGACCAAGAACGGAGTATATGCGATCTCTGCTGTCGGTTGCCGAGTGGTTGCCCAAGTATGCCATAATGGCAATCAGGTTGATGCCGATCGAATCTGGCTTGGTATGCCATTGATGGATACGACGGCGGTTGAATGCGCCGTCGAACAGCTTTCGCGGTACGAGCTCATGTTCGAATTCTTGGCTCATGGTGCTACAAAGGAAAATGCTATAAGTTGCCTTCTTGAACCTGCCGCGGCTGATGCTGGCGGTACCACAGTAGAGCTTCGCCTCTTTGGGGAGGACGAACTCTTGCAATGTCCACACCCTTGTCCACCAAGGTCTAGCCAGCAAGCTGCTCACAGCAGCGCACTTATTGGTGAACTCGGGGTTTTGCAACTGCTTGCGTATCGCGATATCGTCCCCATGGAAGGCGAACTGTAAAGCGCAAAGGTAGTGCATAAAGTCGATGGCACCGGTGCAGTCACTGTTGCCATCTTTCTCTTCGCCTAGCCATATGATGGCTCTTTTCGCTTTTTTGTAGATCTCTGCCATGATGCGCACCTGCTTCTCACGTTCACGACTGTCATCCAGATTGATGCAAAGAGAGTCGATCCACCACCAATCTGTGCCATGGAAGTCGCCATGACGAGTGACCATGTTAAGGAATGGCACCAGGCTGTCGAGTACGCGAAGTCTTCCAGTCTTCACATCGACTGTCATTCCGGTATACTTGCGCTCGCCCCACACGTAGCTGGCTGTGTAATAGTGGGGTGCACTAGCGATTGGGAACTTGTGCAGTTCGCCGACGAAAACGCCATGACTAGTCTGAGAGAAGCGGAGGAGGCGGATGGAAGATTCATCAACAGTATCCGAGAAAGCTGAAGCGCTGGCTGATGGTGGCGTGCCAAGTTCCATAAGAATCCAGGAAATGGATGGATGGGCGGGCGAGCGTGACGGGACGGTGCGCGAAACCTCCAGAGCGGCTCGCCTCGCACAATTGAAGCCGCCCGCTAGATAATCCTTGGCGGCGCCCCTCAACGCGACGGTTACTTATCGGCTTTATCCGTTGCCCTCTGGGAGACTTTGAGGCTGATACATTGCTCCTTGTGGACTGTTGTAGAGTTTTTTGAGAGTCGCGACTCCACATTACTTGCTTTCTTCTGGACGGGCAGCTTCCTCAGCCGCCCTTTGCGCTCCTCTGTCTGGCCTTCTTTTGCGCTGTCCTGCAGCGCCTTTACTTGGTACTTACTGGGACCACAAGTCTCAGTCTTTTCCATGCCTGATGATAATCCGAGGCATAAGTATCTTTCCTTGCGTTTGACATGTGAATCGGTTCCGGACCTGATTTCGGTTGCCGATGCCACATCGCAGCTTCTCAGTCTAGCTGAGTCTGGGTACCGTCTATACTGCTACATAGTACTTAGGGACTGCTCTGACAACAGCCCAGCCAAGCAACAAACCAACTCTTTGGCAACGAGCCCTAGATACCATTTACATGTCAACTTCCAAAGTCTTGGTGTTTTATGCGTGAGTGTGGTCGATTGATCAGTATTGTTTGTGCTATTTACCATCTTTACAATCGGTGGTGCATAGCCATTGCTTTTTCTTGTGAACGAGGTGCATCCTTTTTGCTGATTTCTATCATTCTAAATGCGATATACGTCATCTGATGCCAATGTATAGGTGCGCCTCATACGTGGCGTGCTGCTTTGGTGGGCAGATAGCTTTCGTCCGAACGTTTTCGGTCGATCAAGAGCCGCTGTTGCCTCGGGCCCAGGCGAAGTCAGTGGTTCCGCAGCGTTACATACGCTATGCTCCTGAGACGTGACGAACACTGGAAAAGGGGACGCTGGTTTGCCTGGCCTCAAAGCTTTCGAAGTAAAGCCCGCCTTCTCCACCTCGCCTCACTCTAAGCTCCCCGGGCACTTCAACCTATCCATCTACGCCTAAGAAGCGGTGTCACGCTGTACTGAGTTCCACTCGAGCATCCATATTCAACGTATGAGCAGCTTAGGATTCCGTCAAAGAGCTGCCTGAAGGATAAATAGTCTGTTGCATTGCGGATAGTATTCATCTTGATCCATGTCTGCTCATAAGCTTCCTCTTAGCTGTCGCACCTTTCGCCTGCGCAGCTTTGGAATTTGGTCGTAGATCCAGACAACACTGAATTTCTTCATTCTAAAGTCCAGTGAGATCACATCAGGGAAGATATAGCTAGATTTATGCGTTTCCCAAACTCTGTTCACTCACACTACTCTTAGTCCATGGGAAACTGGGAAACCCTTGTACTTGTAAGTAGGTTAGGGCTCAAGATTGGAAGCTATACCGTACGTAGTGGAGCTCCCATTGGAATTTTACAAGAACAGCATGATATTTTCCTCAAACAAATCAGAGATACATGCGCATCTAAAGAAGATCATCCCTGTTATCGTCTCAAAGTAAGTATAAACATTTGCCGGTAATTACAGTAATTGTCTGGTTGCAATTGGGCCGAGTATGAGAATTACATATCTTAGGTACATTGAGCCCGGTGCCTTTTTCCAGAAATAGTTTCCCAGCATGTAAGGGACGAAGAACTGCACACGAGTGAAGTTGACAGAGGATTATAGCAATTAGATCAGCTTGCATCTTCTATAAACTAAGAATCGTTTCTCCGGCATAACATTGATATCGCCATAAAATTCCTCAGTTTGACAGCTTGGAATCAAGATGAGCGAGCTAGCAAATCTATAGTCGATTTATTAAGATACTTTAACCAAGGTCTGAAATGACTAACTCCTTGGCAACTGTTAGTTATCTCTCAAGCACTTCATCAAACATCCTTGTGTTCATCATCACTACTATCTTTTTGATTCACAAATTACATAGAAAAATTATAACTTGTTAGATTTAGACTCCGTAATGATGAAACACGTAGGAGAGTTCATGAGTTTTACAAGGTGTTGAACATTTATTAATTTACCATACAACACCTTCTCTACCTTAAAGTTACCGGTTTACTAAGTTCTCAAAGAGAAGACATAATACGTTCCGACTCCCTCATTGGCACAGCGCTGATTTCAGCCAATTTGTCTACTGTTTCACGCATGACATCAATACCCCACATATAGTCTTGCCACTGATGGTCGCGCCACTTGTCTGCCACGTGTGAATCCCCAGCCGTTTCCTTTTGTCTTACGCCCTGTATAGACCTGTCTCTTTTCTCTTGCTCGGGGCCATCTGGTAGGTGCAAGCTTTTGCTTGTGTCCAATGCGCTCGCGGCTATCTTCTCAGCCCGCTCTTTCCTGACCATCTCGTATACGCCAAGGGCCAACTGGACGTTCGACGTATAGTTGAGAGCAGTGGCTATCACTGCAGCATCCTCGATACCGTTTGCTGCTCCTTGAGCGACATATGGGAGCATTGGGTGGCAGGCGTCGCCTATAAGCGCGACGCCGCCCCAAACCCATCTCGGCAACGGAGGGTACATGTTGAGAGTCCACTCTGGGATTTCCTCCTCATCCTCTTCTCCGGCATAACTCAGCCACCTTCTTATTGCAGGCGACCAGCTGCTGTAAAAGCTCATCATCTCACTTCTTTTGCCAGTGGCTGTCCACACATTCTCTCCAGTATCAATATTCGGCTTGGAAGGGTGGATGAGCACCATGTTGTACAATTTGTTTCCTTTCAACGGGTAGGCCATGATATGCCCTCCGGGCCCCATGTAGCGCATCGCCACATTCTGATCTAGCATGGCTAATAATTGTGCGTCATGCTTAACCTTTTCACGAGGAATTAGCAACCTGTACGCTGCGTCTCCCGTTGGGTAAGGCTGATCTTTGTGGGCATATCCACCCGCCAGCGCCATCTGTTTCCTACAAATAGATTTTATGCCATCGGCAGCAATGACGATATCGCCTGTAAGCCAAAAGCTCTTGTTCGTATTGCCAACTGTAACTCGAACTTTCGGGGTTGGGGAAGAGTCAACATTTACTACTCTGTAAGATGTCAGAACGTAGACTGCTCAATCGACCAGCTGAGAGACGAGATAGCTTTCAAAGGGGGCAAAATACGATATCAATTCACGTGCATACGTTCAAAAAGACCTACGTGTGAGATGTAAGAATTTGACAACTGTTGCCCCGAGCAGCATCCAAAAGTATGCGATGCAGATCTCCACGGTGTATGACCCCCATGGGTGCTCCGTATCTATCCACGGAGGAGAGCGACATCGGCGAATTTCTGAGCTCCTTATCACTATTATAGCGTCTACAAGGCAAAGTCAGAGATGGCTCCTAACACATACAGAAGAGATCAGAGTAAATGTAACAAGAGAAATAAGAACATAGTATTCCAACATATGCAACACTCACCTGATGCTGACTCCTGAGAGGACGGAAGTGTGTAACATCACCTCGCTAAGGACTCCGAACCTGCGTAGAATGCGAGTGGCATTTGGAGCCAACTGTATACCAGCGCCGGTTTCGCCAAGCAGGGGGGAGCTTTCCAAAATCGTGACGGAGTGGCCGCATCGAGAAAGTGCCAACCCGGCCGAGAGTCCCGCAATGCCCGCCCCGACGACAATAATCCGGAGAGGTTTAATAGCTTGGCGATGCGTATAGATATCATCATGAGTTAGCTTCTCCATGGTCGGATAAGTTCTTAGAGATGAGAACTGGACAAGAGTATATACCCAATCGTTCGGCTTGATTCAGACGAAGGCACGCAGATTGATATGCAATGTTTTGCCAATCACTCTGAGCCTGGACTGGGCCTTTATATTGCAAATTGGCCGTGCGTATCTAGGCAAGTGGCACTAGCAAAAGCAAAGAATGGGCTAGAATAGCTACCCTTCTGGCTAGAGTCTCCCCTCCCAACAATTCGACCCACAATAAGCTTACTGTACAATAATATTGAATCCCTTCTTGGCTCAATACGGAAGGAACAAGTCAATTGGGGGGATTGCCTTGTAACGACTGCGGTTAAGAACAGGCAGATATTAATAAACCCCTACATTCATTTTGATTCGATTCCGCCCTCCGGCTTGATAGAGCGCGGCATCTAGATCACGCAGCAGAGCTGGACAATGGTGAGATATGAGTTCTCTCTATCAAAAATACAAAATTTTGTACTTACGTACATATTCATAGCTGGTGTGACAAACCACAAAAACCTCCAAGCATTGGCAGATAGCTTCAAAACTTCACTGATTCGAATCAGATTTTTACAAGCCAAAAGCACCAAGACAGTTGCTCCTGCTCCGAGGAAAATAACACACGATAATTTCTTCAATTATTGATGAGATACAAATTGACGGTAACGGAATCATTTAATCTTTCGTATGCGAACTTCCATTTCCCTGTCTGGAGACATGGCAATGAAGCCAGCAAACCTCCTATCATCCTGTGCTGGCCTGTCGGACTTTGACCCATCAGAGTTTTTCCACTCCACAAACTCGATGTCAAATTTGGTGACCATGACGGCTACCGCCAGTAGGATCTCTTGTTTTGCAAAGTGGCGTCCAGGGCACATTACGTAACCTCCACCTGTGTAGACAAGTTAGCAATTAGTGTTCAACAGCTCTTGGCTTCCACGGGTCAGGTGGAGAGAACCTGGTACTTCATAGAATCAGAGGAAAACCTACCATAAGGGAAGAAAGAGCTTGGTCGACCCTTCATAGCGAAAGTTGGATGCATCGTCACTTCTCCAGTGACCTCATCTGTCTTTTCCACCCACTTGATATGCCGCCACGCCCAAAATTCAGATGCAGGATGACCCTCGACCCCCCATACAGCTTCTTCGAAATGTGAAATCTGTGAGCACGTCTGAATTAACGAGCCCTTCTCAAGATGATAGCCATCGATTTCAATGGACTCCTTTGCCTCACGAGTCACGTTGAAGGACACGTGTATGCGCATAGTCTCTGTATACAGAGACTGCATGAGCGGCATGTTAATGAGCGCGCGCGCATTCAAATGAGTTTTCTTAGTATCTGGGTCGACTGTAAGTGTCTTCAGTACCTCGTTGCGCACTGCCTTATACAGGGACGGGTCCTTGATTAGCTCAATCATCGCCCACGCTGAGATAGGCACTGTGTTCCCGTTCAGCCTGTATGAAGTCAGTCATCGGTACTCCAGAATTTGAATCATAGCTTTGACGCACCCAAAAAGGGAAGCCAAAGTGTGTCCAGCAGCAGCTTGGTTTGAAAAGCCCCTCTCTCGAAGCCACTTTGCAGTCTCGCGAGACAATCTAGACCCAAAATGCGGCTCCCAGGCCGAATCAGCGTCTGGACCTGACCAGTCAAACTGATCCCACGCTGAATCGATGTGCTTCCTCGTCATCTTATGTAGACGGTCCCTAATTGCAACAGAAGAGCGCTGCATGAAGTTTGGCAGGCCCCAGACCAAAGTACCCGCGATTTCATCGAACTCCCAGTAGCAGTCGATAAAACCAGGATTCAGTTCAATAATCTTAGAACCAAATAGCGAAATAATAGCGCTCTCGGCCATTGCAGACTTGAGGAGCTGAAATAGCTCCACTGTGACCCATTCTGTCGTCGCATGCTCTTCGAGCCGTTGCGAGAATAACGTCTGGAAGGACTGAGCTAGAGCATCGGAGTAATTTTGCTGAGTAAGATACTCAGCATACAAACGGTCATGTCCGAGCCAAAATCTTTGGTCTTCACGGATGGATTCTGTCCCTGGAGCTGGAGTCTTCAGCCGTCCAGAAGTGTCACCTGCGAACTTCTGGATCTCGTCTTTAGTCATTCCCCAGTGCTTTTCCATCAAAACCAGCTGAAGAAAATTGCCATCCAATATGTGAGGCGAACCGAAGACCTTTTGTACATTCTTCGGTCCGATCACGATGTACGCGGGCCTCAGGCCTACGTAGAATCCGACAACGTTGCTCTTGGTCGCCTCTAAAGTCTCGCTACAAATCTGTCTTAGTAATCTAGGTTGATGGTCCGAACAGGAGATAACAACTCACTTTACTCTGTCCAAGAATCTGCCAGCGTCGGTCAAGTATTGGATCGTATTTGAAACATAAGGAATGGTGTCAGGGAGGCGAGGGGGCCGATTTGCATTTGGTGACCAGTAGATGAACGCCAGGAACACAAAAAATATTCCAATGACGAGATAGGCTCTTGAATTGCCAGTGAAGAGGCTGAGAACTGACTGCATAGAAACCATAACAGCGAATTCGATGAGTGCAAAGTGGAATACCAATGTCGAAAATTCCCAATATTCACGCTGGAGCTATCACCCAAGACAGTCAGCATGGTCAGCGCTGCGTGCCACCGTGAGATACTGTTACTGCCTAAACGCTATGTAAGCACTACATAACTGGGTGTGAACAGGTGGGTCCGGTAACTGTAGTTGGGTGCCATACTCCGGTGCTACTGCTGTGCAACATAAGAAAAGCTGCAGGGACGCTGCAAGGATGCTGTAGGATCCGTGGCTGAGCAGCTTCCAGGAGTTAGTACACAAGCCACTAGTACGGGTCTTAGAGCTAATCGTTATCTTCGCGGATGTGTGCTCCCGAAGATTTATGAGCTCACAGACCACCTTCTCCACCTACCAAATCTATGCCTGAAATATCACATTATGCAGGGATGTTCTTGTGAGATTTTGGGAAGAAGTGTAACCCCCGCATTCCTACATGAATGCCGCTAAACCGTACCTTACCCACTGACTCATCCATATTAGTCGGCAGTCTTGGAAGTGGAAGGCCGGGACCAATTCCGCTAAGAAACTGCCGGGAATCGCAAATTGCGGTACAAACACTGATCATTACTGTATGAGGAAAAAGGTCTTTGAGAAATAGAAAAAATCGATCTCGTAGAACGCACCCTATCACGCGTGTCTTTCGTAGAGTCCGGCTAGAGTAACCTTCAAGCTATTTTCTGTCGGGAAGGATAAAGATCATTCTATCAATCTCTCGCATTTCGCTACCACGGTGCATTTATTCGTGCTGGTGATACAATTCTTCAAAGTTTCGGTACGACACGAGAGGTATCAAGCGACAATGTATATGCGCCTTACAGGCTGTCTCCAGTATTTCCTTACAATTTCATAGATCTGGTATTGTAAATATCTCTAGATGATACATTTTCCTCAGACTCAGTCTAGAATAGAAAGCTGGATGATCCACATGCCGCTATGCTATCCTTCAAAGCTTCGACAGCAAAAAGCCACTGTTCTGCAGGGTTTGGAACACCTGCTCTGCATCATACTTCTGTGAGACCTTTACTAGACTAGCCACGTTCTCTGAACCATATGAACCGATAGGATTCTGATCTCGTGAAGCATCATTCATGTACTCAAACGGCAGATATACACCGAGCTCTTGTCCACGTCTCTTCCATTGCTCAGTGAAGTTGATGGATACTGAGCGCACAAGGTTGTCGTCCCCTTCGTTTTCCCAGTCTACCAGGGTTGTCCACCCTGTGGCAGTTAGCTCTCGGTTGATAGATTGAAGTCTTATTACTGAATGCATTGGAATACTCACATTGCTGAGCTCCTGCCTCAATGCCTAAGGCATTTCCACCCTTATCAATTCCCTGCTGTATCAGGTTCGCACCAATGTGTTGCATGGCAAAAGTCTGGCTGGCCCCTGTCTTGTTGCGCAAAGCCACAGCATTCTCTCTCCAGAACGCGTACATTTCCTTAGTGAATTCCGTGTTAATACGTGAGCTGGCACCTCTGTAGTCATGACTAAGTATAGAAAAGTCAGTGAGGAAACTTGGAGCTCTATCTGCAATATCGATGCTTACCGGGCAGTGATATTAGGATAAGATGCACTCAAGATGTTGTACACATTGGAGAACGTGGTGTTGATTGGAGGAACGACGACTTGAAGAGGTTCAATGTCTTCGAAAGCAGCAAACGCAGTCGGTGAAGTTGTGGGCTCAGAATAAATCAAGCCGAGAGTTATATAATCCAGGCCAATTTCGAAAGCCACGCTCGATTTGGTGTCGGACGCGCCGTTCTGCTGCCACTCGTCAAAAGCCTCTAAGAGCTTGAACGCCATGTCAGTGGAATATATTTGCACTTTTCCCCAAATCTCCAATACTGGTATAGTATAGAGATCGAAGCGAGTAACAATGCCAAAGTTAGGACCACCACCCTTCAACGCCCAAAAGAGGTCGGTGTTTTGACTGAAGGAGGCGTTGATAATCGTTCCGTTTGACAAAACAACCTATGAAGAGTTATGGATTAGCCATATCTCAAGAAAATGGTGTTATATCCGCTAATACATACCTCAAAGTTCTTGACGTTATCCACTGCAAGACCAAACTGTCCTGAAGTGTAGAAGTAACCACCTGCATACGATTAGAATTGCTACAAAATCAAGGGTAAAGGCTACTAACCGCCGAGGAGCAGTCCCCCCACACCGACTTGTCCGAGCCGTCCTCCCTGGACGGAGACGCCCTGAGCATTAAGAACTGTCATTGCATTGCTCCAGCGACCCCCGGGGCCGAGACTGGCAACTGTGCCATTGCCCGAAAGGGTAACGAAATCCAGGCGTTGGAGGTCCAACAGGATGCCCTCACTCCCAATACTAGACCATCCGGGATTGGGGGAGTGACCTCCGCTTCTTACGGAGAACTTGACCTGGAAAAATTTTACAATTTGTATCGCAGTCGACACATCAGTAGCATTTCTAGGCTGGATGACACAGGACGGGAAGGCGTAGCATGTTTCGGACCTTCCAACGTTAGAACCCCGAGTGTGTGTTAGGTGACAGGATCGAACCTACCAGTTTACTTCAACGACCGTTTGGTCTACAGGTGTCGCCTGTACTTGAGCTTCTCCAAGAGACTCCCGTGCAGTCTGACAGGCGACCGCCAAGGCTTCGGCAGGACTCGAGACTTGGGCAAATTTCTCTCCCAAAGTCTTGATTGTAGACTCGGACAGACCAATTTGTTGGCCAAAAGATGCGAAGCCTGCGGCGGTTGTTGTTCGTGTTTGCAGGCCATTAACGCCCATAGACACAGCATGAGCAATACCAATGCACCGCGCAAATAGCATCCCGAAAAGGTGGTAACGGAGCCGCATTGTAAGGGCTTGTTAAAACCGATAGGCGATAAGCGATACCCCAGGAGACTGATCAACAAAATCTTTCCAGGAATCAAAATGCAGTCGTTGTTTCCCTTCTTTTAAGGGCTGCATATACATAGAAGCACTAGTATCCACATTTGTGACTTACGAGGGGATGTTCTCTCTAACAAGCGCAGGGAGTACATTACAGCATGTCCTTATCAGCACCCCAACAAGTTAGGCACTCCGCATTCGCCTGAGTATACCAAGAAACTTGTCCAACCAATTGGCTTGTGTTCCTGTTGATCCCTGTTGTTGGTGGTCCGTGTTTGTATTGGCCCCCGTTTATGCTGGTCTTTGTCCTTGCTTCCGTGCCCAGATATACCCACTATTGTTTGTCCAGTAAATCCTTCCTCTCCACGAGTCCCGATGAGCATGTAACTGTCTTCCTTCTCTTCATCTTCTGCCGTCTCTATCAGGATCCTCAAGCACTCAGCGAACATGTCTGCTAACCATCAATACAATATCACTCCCGAGAAGCAGGCAAGCCTAGCGCGTTTCTTCTACAACCAACTCACCGTTACGCCTACTGAGGTCCGCGATGTTGATCTCCAAGGCAAAACGGCAATCGTTACCGGCGCCAATTCAGGTGTTGGTTTTGAGTCTAGTCGTCAGCTTCTAGATCTCGGACTCAGCAAGCTTATCCTCGCAGTCCGTAGCGAGGAAAAGGGCAAAGCCGCCCTGGCTAAGCTGTCTCAGGGTCGTACACTTGATGCCAACGCTATCGAAGTCTGGCTTGTTGACTTTTCTGACTACAGCTCGGTCGTCTCGTTCGCCGAACGTACCAAGAGCTTGGAACGTCTCGATATAGTCATTCTTAGCGTCGGCATCTTCCCGGCCAGTCGCAAATTCAACGAACGTACCAAGCACGATGAGATGATCCAAGTAAATTATTTGTCGACAGCCTTATTGATCATCCTACTTCTTCCTGTTTGCAAGGCCAAGGACAGAAGCCAGCCAGCCCGAATCACGCTTGTGTCTTCCGAAGTGTCCGCTTGGACAAGCTTCAAGGAGAGGAATGACCGTCCCTTACTCTCTGCCCTCGACAAGCCGGGCAACATCAATCTTCTCGATCGGATGATGGTTTCAAAGTTACTTGGCCAACTCTTCTTAGCCAAGCTTGCGAAGCTGGTACCTACGACTGTTGCCATAATTAACTCAGCCTCGCCCGCAGGGCTGCACGACACTGAATTCGGTAAGGAGCACGAGAAGGGCGTCATCGCAGCTATCGGAAAGTCGGTCATGCGACGTATCTACTACTCTTCTGCTGTCGGTTCGCGAACCGTCGTCGATGCCGCTGTCAAGCATGGCAAAGAAACCCATGGAGAATTCTTTTCGTTCCAAAAGATTGTTCCGTAAGTCATCTTGAAATGGATCCTGGGCGTTTCAGCCATCCTATTTGTCTTTTCATTGGCTGACGACAATCTACAGCATGGCTCCACTTGTTTATTCATCTGAGGGACAGGATATTAGAGACCAGCTCTGGAAGGAAACCATGGCAGAACTCTCATTCGCACAGGTGGAGACGATTTTGAAGGAGATCAGCATGTGAGACTGCTATATTTGTGTGATGGAGGCAGCAATCTTTCAAAGTCAATATTGATTACGGGACTTGCCTCCAGCTATCTGAGCACTTTCATTTTTACGTTTCCTGCAAAAACATCACAATTTTATCATTGAAACCCTCAATGCCCCGATAAGTCTTTGTCTCACCATGAGGTCGAGTAAAGAACGTATCGAACGTATATAAATCAAGAGAACATATATTTCCTACATAAATCAGTCTACTTTCATTCTATTTGTGAAACGCCTCTGGAAAAAAGATGATTCCATCTTTTGGCAGGCCAGCTCCCAGTCCGTAGTCCACTTGCGGTGGAATGGCTGATATCCAAGCATGCCGCCGATCCATCTTCCCACTACGACGCCTAATATTTGCGAGATCGTTTGACCGAAAGGCACCCACCATGGAAATGACACATAAGTACCACCAGCATCGAATGTCTACATTTTTGGTGGTGAGCACAAGGTCTTTCATTAAGTTGATGGTAAACTGGAGAGGAAAGGTGGCTTACGCTAAAAAGCTGTATCAGGGAGATCTTTGCTCCATTCACCACCACATCGTCCTGGTACTTGTACCAATTCTCGAAGAAGACAGGATTCAGCTCGAAGACACTGTCAGTCTTCTCACCCGAGAGCAGGAACTTCACAACCGTTTCGCCATCGTTTTGGTCCGCCAGCGCCGCTGGGTACGACCGATGGTTCACGTAAGGCTTAATGCTCATGGGCCCGTCACCTGCCAACAGTACGTGCTCCTTGCCGTTAAGCTCCAGGCACATCTTGCCCTGGATTGACTCAATATACTCTTCCTGTATGTGGAAATGCAGCGGCGGCTTGTGAGAAAAGAATTCGGCACCCTTGACAAGATCGAGCGTGATCTCGAGTGCGAAAGATCGCGATGGGTGTTGGATCATACGTCCCCGGATAGCGCCTTTGAAACTACAGAACTCTGGAATTAGCTCATAGACAATGGGTTTTCAGTTCTGCTTATTCCAAAGATATCTCTAGAGCTGCTGTGGGATAGGCAAGGAGTAATGGTGAACAACGCGGGCAGCATGAAACACGTACACTTCGACCATGGTGTCTGAGTTTGAGTATACCATTTCCTCTGCGTCTGAGCGGCCCATAATTGTAAACTGTTTGTATTTATCCAAAAATCAAAGGAAATTGAGTTGTAGATGGACATAAAGTCGAACAAAAAAGCCAGGGGATAGTCTATTCAAAATGGTCAATGGAGGTGATTGGGTTATGTGTTCAAAATTCTTTGCCGCAGATCTCATGTGCTGCCTTACAACCTATCCACTTAGGTCTTCTAGCTACAGATTGATTCATAAAGACAATTCAATTCTAATAATTCACTCATCGCCTGTTCCCAAGATTCAGGCCCCTTAGAACACACTATCTACCTTGGCAAAGTCTGGACAACGGTCAATTATCCACACGCTACCATGTACAAAACCCAACAAAAATTGTCTCTTTTACAATCTTGATCCTAGTCTCCTGTAAGCATTTCCAGTTCTGTACGTGCATGTGCGGCGTATCTCTATTGTTGGGCTTCTGCCGTGGTGTTAGGCAATAGTTCTGTAGGTGGAGACTGCGGCTGAGTTATGTGCAGGGGTCATACACAGATCCTATGGGCGTTATAGCCAGTCATTGTCTGCGCGGAAGTTTGCTCCCGAAGGATTGCGAGCTCACGGACCATTTTCCCACAGAAATTATGCAAGGAGAGTGCCCTGCAGCTGTGTGTCAGCCGCACGGGAATCCTCTTTCTTTGTACCGGGCTCGCCGATGGTACGCCTCAGGCCTCCAGCAACTTACATACGTACACCAACATGATAACAGAAATTTATGATATTGGAATAGATTCATGCAGCTCTGCCTCGACGGCACGGAAGTTCTTTATCTCGCTATACCTATATAGGTAGCAGTATCAACTTAGACTGGAAACCGACAAGGTAGCTCACTGTGCAGACTATCTATGTATTTAGCATTCCATGATAAGGCTAACTTAAATACGTCAAATTAGCCGAAGGAACACATGTTGCAGCTGGTGGGATGGGCCGAGGCTGCAATCGCTAGCGACTGTACCATACGCAGTCTACACTCTAAACTTCCTGTATGTTGCTAGACACACCTTCCCCTCATTAACCGGCTATCTCGGTTGTTAGCGCGCCTCTAAACAAATTCATGACTTCCCATGTAAGCCCCAACTGCGCGGCGGCCCGGCGGAATAGCCGGTTCACACTAAGACGGTGCGCCTAGAATAGTTCTCAAGCGTTGGCGGTTTTACACTGCAGATGCAGGGGTATGTAGTGTATGTATGTAGTGGTGCGGGGCAGGGTTGGCTCAGGGAAAAGCCGAAGTTAATGTCGAACATCTTACACTAAGCAGCAAGGCATAGTAAGCTGCAGATGATGATGCGATTTGACAATCAAATCCTTGGTAAGAACTAGGATAGAGGTTATGGAGGGAGCGCCTTCAATTCAGGAAATGAACTCCGTGATTAGAGGTGTTGGGAATATCGATGAGGAAGATCACATGACCAGTTCTTGGCCTACTTGCATTGAGACTCATTGAGACTTACTGAAACCTATTGGAATTCGTTGAGGCTAGATTGGGCAAAGATAGTATATAAAAGTCAAAAGATTCCTTAATGATGGAACGTACTCGGCCTTATTTTAGGGATTGATCGCTAGCTCGTTGTGTATATTCTCTAGCTCGCCAAACTGTATATGATCCACAGGATCTTGACAGCTCTATAGCCCATTGTTCATCACTGATTCTCCCAAACTCTCCTTATCACTAGATTAACAGAAGTGGTCCTTCGGATTCTTGGACCTTTCTTTGTCCCAACGTAAGTCTGGTGCATCCATGAATGCTAACTATTGATTTGGACTGATTCATCAGGAGCGTGTATAGTCCAATAAGGACAAAGAATTTACGGGAGTAACGATGATCAATATCGCTACCAAAAGAGCCAAGGGAGCTTCCAGCCAAGAATCCAAAGATTATCTTTCCAAACAGTACGGCGGAGTTCACTCCGAGGGCTGGGTGAACCGCCTTCCCTCCTCTTGGATCGCCTATGTACAACTCTCACGACTGAGCCCGCCGGCTGCTTTCTTCCTTATACTGTTCCCTCACCTGTTCGGCGTTATACTCGCCGCGAACACTCTCAAAGTTCCCGCTACAGAGGTCGCCCGCGCCTGTCTTCTCCTCTTTGGAGGAAGCTTTTTCTGTAGCAATGCTAGCCATGCATGGAACGACCTTGTCGATGCTCCGATAGACAAGGCCATTGCTCGAACCAAAACTCGTCCTATCCCCCGTGGCGCCATCACCCCTCTTGCCGCATTCATATTTGCAGTCTCGCAAGCCACAGGAGCTCTTTCGTTCTTGTACTTCCTACCTGCAGATACGGCCAAGGTTGCGACTCCAACTATTATCGGGACCATTTACTATCCCTTCGCTAAACGTCACACAAACCTACCTCAGTTAGTGCTCGGTTTTTGCCTCTCCTGGGGCATCATGGTCGGCAGTTCAGCCGTGGGCGTTACCAAGCCATGGACAGATCCATCGACCGTCTTCTTGCTTGTCGCTTCCATTCTCTGGGTAATACTCTTTGATACCATATACGCACACCAGGATCTCGCCGACGACGTGAAGATGGGCGTCAAAAGTATTGCAGTCCTTTTCCGTCACCACGCCAAGGCACTGTTATGGGCTCTTTTTCTGGGCATGATCGCTTCGCTATTGGCATCTGGTTACCATGGACAGTTGGGTATCTTGTATTATGCTGTCACAGTTGTCGGATGTATTCTTTCAGTGGGCACGATGGTCGTTAAAGTGGACTTGAAGAGCCCTGCTAGCTGTTGGTTGTGGTTCTCGCAAGGATTTTGGCTTACTGGACTGGCCATCTTTGGAGGTTTGTTTGCAGACTACTGTGGTAATGGTGGTAAGTAACGTGTTTGTGAGTCCTAGGCCTCGAGTTATTGAAGCACAAGGTCACAATCACATGGCAATGAAGGACCATCACTCGCAAGTTCTCAAAAAATAGAGTTTTGAGTAGCAAATCGTCTAGAGACGACACCAGAGACATCTAAACAAATCTCAGCTTCTTTCTAGCTTGAGATTTTGAGTCTTGATAGTTATCTGCAAATTATTGTCTTTCCACTCTTTGTGAGCAACGATTCCAAGCGTCTCAACGCGCAACCAACATTACTTCCTAGCTGGAAATGCACAATTTGGATCTATCGTAAGTCTCCACTTGTAAATTGGTAACTCACTGCATGATCCAAAATGACTTGATTCTAAGTCCTGATTCCATATTGCTAAAGGAAAGGACAAAATATCTCGCAATTCTTAGCCTCGTTCCAAACCGCGAATCTAGACTGCTGCAGCTTACGCGCCTTAGGTAGTGGGCCTGTTATTTAATATGGGGTTATTTCTCTAATGGCTTCATAACCTTTGATATTTGCAGCTTACTTGCATGACGTGGGTCTGCTACAAGGTATCTAATCTTAGCGTATTGTTTCCTCGTACTTGGCTGTTCTGTGGCGGGTTTATGCACCGCAAGCTTCCGTCGTCCGTTAGCTGCCTTGATTATGGTATCCACTTCTCACATCGTCTCAACAGCTCTTATCCTAGTCAAGTATTTCGGCACTCCGGTACGGCAATCCATCTCGGACTTCACTGTGGAACCTAACGATGGATCTGGTGTAAGCGTTGCAACCCTTTAGCGTACATGCAGTAATTCACGGCAGATGCCCTGTGTATCCAATAAGGGTTGACCAATATGTGACGTTCCAATGGATATAGATGGATATGGACACATACATTTTCTACGATCAATCTAACATTTTGCACATCTTCGATTGATAGCATTCCGATCCCTTTTTGAACTTCGCATTAACAGAGTATTTTCTATCATGGCCCTTCAGGCCTTATCTACTGCCGTCTTGGCTTCCATCCTCTCGACTATCCTGTACTTGGTGCTTCAAAAAGCCTATCCCAGACCTTTGCCAGGCATACCTTACAATCGCGATGCTGCTAGGAAGCTGATGGGTGACCTAGCCGAGCTGAGAGAGAGACAAAAGAATGGTGGAAGCATGAGACCGTGGTTCCTTGAGCAAGCCGGGCGACACAACTCTGCTATAACGCAAATCTTCTTAGGACCTTTTGCAAAACCTGCTGTTCTTATTTCGGACTATGTCGAGGTCAACGATATTTTAAGCCATCGTGATGCCGTCGACTTCAAGAGAGGAAAGAAGGTGGATGTCTTCAGCGGTGTCCTTCCGCATGCCCACCCTGCTATGGAGACTTTTGATCCGAGGTTCAAGAGCAGCAGGGACCTTGTCCGGGATCTGATGGTACCGTCTTTTTTAAACAAAGTAGGTATTTGTATCATGTGTTGTTTTTGAAACGACAAAACTCAATGTCGAATCAATACTGACATCCCCAGGTTAATGCACCCCATACGTACATAGTAGCACAGAGCCTTGTCGAGCTTTGGCGGCTCAAGGCACATATTGCTAAAGGTCGGCCATTTGAGGCATCGGAAGACATAGTGGAGTTCTCTTTTGATTCCATACTCAGTGCCGCTACGGGTTTAGAAAATGACCATGGGGATGTGCAACGCCAGTTGTCTTTTCTGAGCCGAATAGAGTTTAACAAGCACCATGAGTTGATCAACACCCCTCTCAATGAACCCATTATGATTCCGAGTGCTAGAAGATCTGAAAAGCTCGCGGCCCTCACTGTCGATGAGGAGTCCCTTTGGAAGGGGTTTTACATGCCTTGGCCACGGCTCTATCACAGGCTCAATAAACTGCGACCCTCTGTCAGAAATGCAGGACGGACGCTCCGGGGATACATTGAGTCGCGAATCGCCAAAGCCGCACCAAATCTCGCGAAGGGATGCCAGCCCGAGTCGGCTTTGGATTACGTCATTCAGCGCGAGATAAAGGCAGCAGAAAAGGCAGGACGAGCCCCAAACCTCCAAGATCCGCGCATCCGTGACGAAATCTACGGTTATCTCATCGCGGGCCATGATACCTCAACCGGCTCGCTCATATGGCTCATGCGCAGGCTTTTGTCTCACCCGGGCGAGCAGGCAAAGATCCGCCGCAACTTATATGAGACGTACAGCGCGGCACGGCGCGAGAAGCGACTACCTACCGCACAAGAACTTACAAGTGTGCACGCGCATTACCTAGACGCCTTCATCGAAGAGGTGCTACGGTTCAACAGTCCCGTGGTGACCATCATGGTAACGACGCGGAGGAACACGGTAGTGCTTGGTCATCCTATCCCTGGTGATACCCAGGTTTTTCTGAATCTCACTGGCCCATCCTTGAATATGCCATCAATTGATGTTCCTGAGCGAGACCGTAGCGAGACAGCTGGTGCATATAGTCATCTGAGGCAGAACTGGGACGGCCAGGATCCTGGTTCTTTTAATCCCGAACGCTGGCTGAGCGAAGACAAGAATGGCTGCCTGGTATTCAATTCTTCACGGGGTCCTAGTCTTGCCTTTAGTGCGGGAAATAGAGGTTGCTGGGGCAAGAGGCTGGGTTATCTGGAATTACGCATCATACTTTCTTTACTGGTCTGGTCCTTTGACTTTGATCTTCCCGAGGAGCTCGTTTCTTGGGATATGTATGATTCCCTTGTTACGGCACCGAAGCACTGTCTTGTTCGTGTAACTGAGGTCGAATAAGGCAGACACATTTATTGCAATATTAGTTACTTCTACGTGTCATAATTTCAGTATTTTGAAATCTTTCGATTGCAACCTTTTTCGTCTAATGCATGTTATCACATAGCAGGATTACCAATGTCTCCTAAATCCATCTTCTCTATTAATATCTCCCTGGACACGGAACATCTTCCGTTGATTTCTTACTGCTCTACTGTCCGTGCGCACTCAATGCAACACTTCTGTCAATGCAACACCCAACTAAAATGCGAGCCCACTAAAAAATGAAGCTTTTGACCACTACTATAAAGCTATTGTAATATGATTTCTTAATAGAAAATTTATGCAGTTATATATTCAATATCTATCTAGTAATATTTACTAGGCAATCGCACACTATGTCCGTGGGTGGTGATAGTATTAATAGGTGGAGCTGAGAATTGGTGCGCGTGGTTCCTAATTCGAATATCTATATAACGTGGTTCACAAGCGAGCTAATCACCCAAGCGAGCTGATCACGCCCCACCAGCGCGTTAACATTAACACTACAACGCGTTATGTCTTAACAACGCGATCATCAATTAACTTATTCTGAATTAGATCTTTAACTTGCTCTTTCTAATAT